AGAAGGCTGCTCACACTGAGCCTGGTTCTGCTGAAAGTTTCTTCCTGCCATAAGGGAGTTTTTCCCTTTCAGTGAGTATATGCATTCTTGGTTTGAGGGATTGCTGTCGAGTCAACGAGTCAAGGGAATCAGCTGATTTTTCTTTGATATAAAAATGTGAACCAATCTAATTATATGACTCTGTACAGTGCCTTGAAATTACATATTCTTTGAATTACCACAATATACTGCAAATAAACTGAAATTAATTGAATTATTGGTGTTATATATACAGACATTTATATGGTCTGTCACAAAGTCCATCACTATTCTACTGCCATCTCCATGTGGGTGCAGCCTGAAGTGACCCAAATCCAATTTTTTTGCCCATATGCAACCTGGATCTGATCTTTTCATGGCAGTCTGAACAACACAGATCCGATTTTTCCAATCCGACCCAGGCCACTTGGCTATGTGGTCCTGAATCCGGTACGAATATGATCTTTTCAAATGCGACCTGTGTCTGAATGGCCAGGTCGTCATTAATACCAGGTCACTAGTCTGAGTCTTGATACACAGAAGCGGCAAGAAAAACAACAACCATGGCAGATGATGATTAGGAGAGCAGCGTTTATGTTGAACCATATTGAAAAGATTGAGTTTTTATGGTTGGAAAAGACCGCTAGATGCGCACCAGCACTAACATCCATGTTTACTTCCATAAACATAGAGCACGCTGGCCTGTGACGTCATTGCATCCTCTACTACGCATGCGGTACACCTGTGTTGTATGGAATTCACAAAGGAGATCACATACAAGTTGCATATATTTGGAAATATGAATAGCAATGCAAAAAAAATTGGATTTCACAAAAAAAATCGGAATTGAGCATCAAGGCCTGCAGTGTGAACGTAGCCATGGTGAATCCCAGTCTGTAGCCTTAAAGCAACCTTGCAGGTGTTATTCAGCGGACTGTGACATCTTCTCACGGTTTCATGTTGCTGGTTGCCTGATAAAGGGGCTCATAATCTGGGTAGAAAAAGGCAAAATTGTGATTTCATTTATAAAAACAAAACTTTGCTTTAGGGGTTCTTAGACATTTACAAGTTTTGTATTCTCTGGTACAGCAGCTGAGAAAATGTTGAAACAATGAAAGTGTAGCAGGGACTAAGGCGTGATTAAGTCACAAGCTATTGTGACAAATACATTTGGCTGTTTTGTCTGTAGTTTATCATCCACTGAGCTGATGACTTGCAGTATATAAGCAGTTACAAAAACACCACTGGTGAACTTGTTATTGGAGAAGATGGCTTGAATTTTCTCCTTTTCCTTCTCTCTTATCTGTGACTGATCTACATGCTTGCCACCTCCATTTAACTATTTCTAACCAATGGCATTTGTGGTATTCCCTTTGTAATAACCCCTAACGCCATGAACCAGAGCTATTTTTACATTAGTGGGATTAACAAGCAAAACAAACATTTATCAAAGCTTTAACGCAATATACACGTATGGACTTGTAAAGGCACGATGAAGTACTGATAATTTACCATGACTCCACTAGTCGAGATTCATGATGGGGTAGAATAGTTTTACAGCTTTGGAAATGTACTTCTTAGCACTATCTACTGCTTTAGCTGTTGTACATTGCATGTATATCATTGAAGACCCAACTTACAGACAAAAAACAGAAAAAGAGATTTAAGACTTTTTCTGATTATTTGCACAAAGTGAAGGCAAGAATTTTTGTCTTTCAACAATGTCTTTTTTTTCCTGTAACCTTAAAGCCAGATATATAGATTATCGAGTGCATGACTAATATTTGTCCCTTTGCCAGATTATCCTATGCCATTTTATTCTCCCTGTTGGCTTCTCTGTTTTATATTCTTCTTAACCTGCCCATCGGTGTATGTGAATAGTTGCATCTTTGTAAATACTTGCATGTTATTATTTCCTTTTAAAGGTTGAGCTGTTGTGGACGGAAAAAAATCAGTGTACTATCAAATACCTTCTTCAAGGTTATTTTAAAAAATGCCTTTGTTTGTGAGAAACTATCTGAAAAACGTACCCAGCGCTGAGAGATGGTTGCTGGTCGGACTTGTCAATCTGGAAGAAGAAGAAGAAGAGGAACTCCCTTGTTTGCACATGCGCAATGCATGGGGTTCTGTTAAATTGGCTCGTAGCTCTGCTTTAACAGCAGGATATATCTACCAACACCTCATGACAGCCGACTGAATATGAAACATGTCTGCCTGTTGTTGGAAGGATCTACTGACAGACTTTTCTGGGAGCAGTTATGACAGAAGTGTCTGATCACCCTGTGATTATGTCCTGGCCTCAACCCAAATACAGCTTCAAGGGATGAAAGACTTAGGACTTAATGTTTCCAGGGGTCCACAGGAGATTCTGAACTGAATAAATTAAATGTTTTCTTTTTTTTTTAAGATTGTGAGAAATCAAATATGCCTCAATATGGTTGTGCATAATGATTATGGGCAAATTACTTGTGGACAATGGGAAAAATTAGCAGTTCCAATGGAATGGAAAAGGATGATACACTATATTGCCAAAAGTATTTGCTCACCTGCCTTGACTCACATATGAGCTTAAGTGACATCCCGTTCCTAATCCATAGGGTTCAATATGACGTCGGTCCACCCTTTGCAGCTAGAACAGCTTCAACTCTTCTGGGAAGGCTGTCCACAAGGTTTAGGAGTGTGTTTATGGGAATTTTTGACCATTCTTCCAGAAGCGCATTTGTGAGGTCGCACACTGATGTTGGACGAGAAGGCCTGGCTCTCAGTCTCCGCTCTAATTCATCCCAAAGGTGTTCTATCGGGTTGAGGTCAGGACTCTGTGCAGGCCAGTCAAGTTCATCCACACCAGACTCTGTCATCCATGTCTTTATGGACCTTGCTTTGTGCACTGGTGCACAGTCATGTTGGAAGAGGAAGGGGCCAGCTCCAAACTGTTCCCACAAAGTTGGGAGCATGGAATTGTCCAAAATGTCTTGGTATGCTGAAGCATTCAGAGTTCCTTTCACTGGAACTAAGGGGCCAAGCCCAGCTCCTGAAAAACAACCCCACACCATAATCCCCCCTCCACCAAACTTTACACTTGGCACAATGCAGTCAGACAAGTACCGTTCTCCTGGCAACCGCCAAACCCAGACCCGTCCATCAGATTGCCAGATGGAGAAGCGCGATTCGTCACTCCAGAGAACGCGTCTCCACTGCTCTAGAGTCCAGTGGCGGCGTGCTTTACACCACCGCATCCGACGCTTTGCATTGCACTTGGTGATGTATGGCTTGGATGCAGCTGCTCGACCATGGAAACCCATTCCATGAAGCTCTCTGCGCACTGTTCTTGAGCTAATCTGAAGGCCACATGAAGTTTGGAGGTCTGTAGTGATTGACTCTGCAGAAAGTTGGCGACCTCTTCGCATTATGCGCGTCAGCATCCGCTGACCCCGCTCCGTCAGTTTACGTGGCCTACCACTTCGTGGCTGAGTTGCTGTCATTCCCAAACACTTCCATTTTCTTATAATACAGCTGACAGTTGACTGTGGAATATTTAGGAGCGAGGAAATTTCACGACTGGATTTGTTGCACAGGTGGCATCCTATCACAGTTCCACGCTGGAATTCACTGAGCTCCTGAGAGCGACCCATTCTTTCACAAATGTTTGTAAAAACAGTCTGCATGCCTAGGTGCTTGAATTTATACACCTGTGGCCATGGAAGTGATTGGAACACCTGATTCCAATAATTTGGATGGGTGAGCAAATACTTTTGGCAATATAGTGTAGGTTTCAAGAAATCACTTCAGCCCCAAAGAGAAAGGAGATAAAATTAGCCTAAGCCTCAGGCAGCTTTTATAACTTACATAAATCTAATTAATAATAAAGATATTAATAATGTATTTTTTTATTTATGAAGTTCTTTAAAATAAGAATCAATACAAACCTTTGTATGACATTAATAACATATAGCTATTAACTCTAAATTATTGGGGGAGTGGAAGAAAAATCTCTTTAAGTGGCTCTCTCCATACAGGATTCAGCCCTGTGTAAACAGAACAGACCAGAACACCAAGCTGTGTGTAACGATTGTCTTGTTCTTATCTTTGCAAAGATAAATAAAGTGCTGACTGAGTGAATTTCCATTGATCTCCTTTAATTAACTAGATAGCATAGTAGAATACTTTTTCCCATGATACTCTACTGGTTTATTTTTTATAACTACTCCCTAATTTAAACTTGTCCACAAACTTATATTTGAGATCCCTACTCAGTCTAAATTTCCCAAGCTTTAACAGGCGTTTTAAATACCTCTATTCACTTCATATAAATCACACACCAGTTGACAATGTCGACAATGTCATTGATTTCTGAAAGCAAATGGCTAACCTGAATTTTCTCATACTTTTTGATGTTCTGATATTTCCTGTAAAACATTTAAACAGTCTGTATGATCTGGTTGAATTGTCTCTAAACAGTGCTTTAAGATGGCATGTGTTGTAAATAAGCTTTATATAAATAAACTGTATTGAATTGGTGTTTCTTCTTTTAAAAAACATAAATCATGCTCTAGATGCGTTTATAAAAAAGACAGAATGCAGTAGAAAGATGAGGAGCATTTTCTGCATGAACTACTATTATTTTTGTCTGCAATCCCAACGGCAGGAGACCCTAAATTAAAATTGAAAAATATAAAAATAATATCTGCGTGTTTGGTGAAATACTGTATCACTGCCCTCTTCAAATGTCGGGAATTAACTATTGGAAATATTTTAAGGCAAAAGTTTCCTGGTTAAGAGAGGCTCACCAGAAGAATTAGAAGAGTTACAATAAACCCAGCAAATGAAGTCAGCATTAACATTACCCAGCGTCACATCACTATTTATATTAAAGCATTAGTCTGTCTCTGAAAGATTTGCTTTTGCCATGAAAATTATGCTATGTGTCTTTCTAGATTTTGCTTCAGGTGCATGAATACTCTTTTTTTTTTCTCTCATTTCAGTTTTACAAAAATGTCTGACTTTGAAGATTTCAGCTGGACAGTTGGACAGACCAACGTTTCTGAAAGCTACCAGCTGAACCCCACCAGCGTAATTGTGTCCGTCGTATTCTCCATAATCTTTCTTCTCGGAACCATTGGCAATAGCCTGGTGCTTGCTGTGCTGTTGAGGAGCGGCCAGCTCGGATACAACACCACCAACCTGTTCATACTCAATCTGAGTGTGGCCGACTTTTTCTTCATCATATTCTGCGTTCCCTTCCAAGCCACAATCTACTCGCTGGAAGGATGGGTGTTTGGCTCCTTCATGTGCAAAGTGGTCCACTTTTTTATTAACCTTACCATGTATGCCAGCAGTTTCACCCTGGCTGCAGTATCTGTTGACAGGTAAGTTATTCAAATTCTGATGTTATACAAAATGCCAGAAATTATTCTCATTAGATGTAATCACTTTTTATTAACTGGCTGATAACTAATTAGGCCAGATTTAAATGAGATGAGATGTAAATAGATTCAACTTTAAAGCCAAGGAGTTCATAGCAAGAAACTGATAATTCTTAGGGTAAAAATAGATTATATTGAGTAATTTAGAATATATATATTATCAGTTTTCTTTTTTTTATAATAAGACATGACTATTTGTATACATTATTTTGTCTGATCAAAAATCCTGTTCTATTTAGATGCCTAATTTACATTAAGAGCAATGAATGTGTGGACGGAGGGGTATGATTCTCGCTTTGGGTGTGAGAGGGTCCATTATGTTACGCCCCCAAGGTCTAGGGGTTCTGGGGAGGTTACATAAAAATGTATCCAGAGAAAATAAGCAGAATGTAAAATTATTTATTACAAAAGATGGTTTAACAGAACCCAAAACACAATAAAATGTAACCCAATTAAAACAAAAGAAAAGGGCAAACAAATTCAAGAATGGTTAAGTGCAAATCAAATTGCAAAATGTCCAAACCAGTCAGTCTACGTTTAACTCAAAACAACCCAAAAGAAAAGTCAAAGGGAGCACCAAACCTCCTAAACACAAACTTCTAGCTTAAACAAGGTGCACCTAAAGCAGATTCAGGAAAATATACAGAACAAGTGAGGGCAAAGAGTTCTAACTGCCCAAAACAGTTGGAAACCAAAGGTAGGGGAAACAGCTTAACAAAACCTCTTCATACTACCTGTCCTCAACCTGAAAGCTTTCCAGGAGTCTTTATATGGTGCAGGTGGGCCTCATCAACATCTGATTGGCTTGGCAATCTTCTGCTGGTCCAATGATGTCACTGCTCCTCTGCAACCTTCAGGCAGCCAACAAGGAAGATTTCTGTCAGAGCTGAACCTGCATAAAAAAAAAAATCCTGCACAGTCTTAAAAGGCCAGGGGCCGCAACAGAGGGTGAAAATTTTCTGGTGATTTCTTTGTGAGTCTAAAGTAAGGTTGCCACTCCCTCAAATAAGTAGTTCAATTGACTTTGAATTGTCACATGAATTGTACTATAAAAATAATGTTGCCTTACCTTGAGTTGCCTCATTATTCATGCAGAGATTTTTTTTTTCGAGGACTAACATTATAAATATATAAAAAATTGTATGTATTTTCTAAAAAAAAAGCCAAAACTGTTGTTTTGTAGTCATGATCCTTAATCTCTTATTTATTTATCCCTTGTTAACGATCATTCAGTCACAATAACGGAATTAAAAACTCTCAAAGATATTTTGCAAATTAATTTTAATATAGGTACTGCAAAGACTAAAATACAACCCTATAAATAGGTTTATGTTTTCCATGGGCTACATTAAGCATGTTAATTCTGTTCACACCTATTCTTCATTGTAATTTTTTTCTTTAAGGGTGTATTAATAGTAAAATATTTTTTTTCTTTAACAAATATGCCCTTAAAATTGTCTGAATTGTAAAATGAGCTTTTACCTATTTACCGCAGTGGCTTTTTCAGCGTCATTAGTCTGTTCAGGAGAGTGATTTGGGCGGAATTCTCTGGGAATGTATGAGTGTGACTGCATGATCGTGTTCACCCAGGTGCTTCATTGAGCCTCTGTTACAGTGAGAGAACACGGAGAACAGAGAGAACACACTAGTCTACAAAAAAATGTACCTCAAATCCCATTACAGAATCCACACAAGTGAGAAAATAAAACTGCTTTGTAGTGGAACAAAGATAGTCTCTAGATCAGTGGTCGGCAAACCAAACTGTTCAAAGAGCCTTATTGGACCAAAAAACAAAAACAAATCTGCCTGGAGCCTAAGCCTTGTATGGCAACACAGGCTCTAAGCATATTAGCCCCTATAAAAAAGGACTATGTGGGCTTAAATATATATAAAGCATTCATGATTAAATGTTTATCCTAGAGCAAATGTCACATCATGTTATTACTTTGGTGCTTTAAGTTTAAAATCCATTATAATATTAATGTATTAGGTTTTGTTGCATTGATGAAATTATAGAAACATTTTAGAGTTATATGAATTTTGAGGATTTGGGGAAAAAAATTGGAAGAAAGTTCACATACACACAAGTTTACATACACATCAGAGCTCCATCTGTTCGATCTGTGAATGCTTTTCCATGCTTGCAACAAAACTAGCAGCAGTAGTGGAGTTTGGAGATGCAATCCACTTCTTAAATCTATCTTTGCTCTCCTCTAATTTACCCAGAAGTTCTGCAATCGCACTATTTCTCTCACTCCCAACTTGGTGGTCGGCTGCATATTTAACATACCTTTACTGAAAATGCCTTACCAAATTACTCTTTTTATTATTTGACAACTTCTCATTACAAACCAAACATGCAGGCATTGATAATGAAAGCAAATGATTCATTTCATTTTTCTTGGAATCCTCTGTTCTCATCAGCTATCTTCCTTTTTCCCTTTGGGATCAATGGCCTGAAACATATCCGCTGGTTTGCTTCCAGCAGCCACTTGCCTGGCGCTGTGCCGCGCTGAAACGTGTGTTGCAGGCTATGACGCAAAACTTCCTGGACACATTTTTACTGCATTGGAAAACATAATGAATGTTTGTTTGACCTCCTGCACATCATATTAAAACAAACAAACAAAAAAATCCATCTTTTTCCATTTTCATACATTTTTGAGAAAGCTCCAGGGAGCTGCAAGGCGGGCATTAAAGAGCCACAGTAAATCTTGGGGCAAGAAGTAAGGTCATATCTCCCCTGGGAATGGTTATCTTTTTCTAAAAAGGTGAAATGTTCCCAAAATAACTCAGGCATTTATACATTTCTTATCCCAGAGGATTATACCTCTAAACAAAAGACCTGTGCATTGCAGCAGCACACTGTGAGGTTTTTCTCTGCTCCCAGGCATGTGCACAATAGTGTCCTTTCATCTAGTCACCACGTGCTAATGTCTTCAAAAAAACTCTGGAACTTGCACTATGCCCATGTAAAGATAAAAAATAATTTTTTTACTGGTGCAAAATCATGTTTGAAAGAAACTCATTTTATGTGTCCACCTGATTACAGAAAGGTGGCTTTATACAAACTATTGGTTCTGAAATACAGCTAAATAAGCTAGATTCAGCTTACAAAACACATCACAGTCAGGCGAGACTACAGAGATATGTTATATACAGTATTCTTTGGATGACACTGTGATTTGAATTTTTTTCTTTTCACAAAGAACTATCTACCCAGAAAAATAATTTACAGATTAAGCTTTTGACCAGGAATACTATATTTGAACAATAGTCCAAGCACTTTAAAGCAATTAGCACACTCCAGCAAATCTGAATGCAAACCAGCATTAAAAGCCAGCAGCAGACACTAACTGGTCCTAATATCTAAAGTTGCCTTGGTTACAGGCCAGTAAATGCATGATAGCCTCCTCTTCAAGGAGGGAATTTGGAAGCCAACATGAAGCAAATTATAGAGCCCCAACATTACCATTATTATTATTATTTATGTATTTTATATATATATATATATATATATATATATATATATATATATATATATATATATATATATATATATATATATATATATATATATATATATATATATATATATATATATATATATATATATATATAAATATGCACATTTTCTACCTACTTTCTACTTTTTATTTTTTCAGTAGAGCTTATCTTATCCCCCTTTTCATGAAAGGGTACAGGGTTTGACTTGTGTGTGTGAGCAATCCTGTGTCCTACATGTATGTTAATAAGGCGTGAGCTGGTTATTTGGAGTAAGAACAGAGCCAGTATGGGGGCTGGCAGAGTTTTACACATTTTGATACGTTCCAAAAAAAAACCTCAGCAATGTTGCACACATTCAGAGACAAGCCCACCTCGACTGACTCTTCTGGAATCCCTGTTGTTCATGTTTGAGCCAGAGTCAGAAGTGATGAGGGAGACAGTGGAAACTGGGTCTGCCCTTCAGCAGTGGGAAATTACAATCCTGTAGTCCATAATGTGAGAGCAGTCCCTGCCCAAACAAATGCATACACAGAACAACCTGTAAAGTAGTTTAGAAACATCTGTGTAACAGAGCAAAGAAGAAATCAAATAGAAATCTGTGTATTACTTTGAGAAGCAGTGTAAGCAAAATTAGCATTTTTCCATGGTTTGTTTATGATTGTCTCTCTGAGACCTACATAATACATAAATAAAAAGGTAAAGCAGCAGAAATTTCAAATTGCACTACAGATGATCCCCTCATTGTTGGACCGAATGCAGGCTCGATGCCATCTTTGCTTAATATTGTCCCATGTTAGTGAATGATGTGCAAAATGTGATCCACAGACATGAAGGGAGAGTCACTGAAACATTGTTGCCAATGAGGATCTTTATCCATTGCTCCCTGGTTGTTTGTTCAACAGACAAAATGAAAAATGTGTTTTCGTTTTTGTTGACAACCAAAACGTAAAAAAATTGACCCTGTTTCAGATAACATTTGTTCCCACTCCAAAATAGTGTAATATGTATTCTATAGCTAGTGTCAGATTTTCAAAGTTAACTTTACCCATATTTGTATCAAAACTAGACCAGAGGGTAACCCACACTGTATACTAGAGTAAAAGTTACGCTGCATCGCTGTCAACTTTTACACTGATTATTAACTACAACACGTAAGCAGATTTGCTCTCAGTATAGTTGTAACTACTCCATTTAGAGTTAAATAGGTTAACTTTGAATTTTTAACACAAAATTTTTACCGTGTATCAAAAAATAAACCACTCATAGTAAGGCCAAACATCCACACTCAGATTTCTGTATGATGACTCATTTAAACAGGTTTGGTGACTCTTATCTATCATTTTAACATGATGCGAACTAGAATCTATAACTTTTACACATTTATCATACAACACAAAAAATAGAGATAACATATAGAAATGATAGGGAACCAAAAG